GACGCAGATCACTCGGGATCCAGGTATCCCGCCTCATACCTCATCCCTCAATACGTGGGCGGAACGCAGTACGAACACATTGCAACATCGGCGCCCTCCTGAGAAAATGTTACAGAATCGGAGTCGCAACATCACAACATGCGTAAGGTGAGATAGCGCGATGAAAAAATTCTTGCGAGGTTATGAACTCGAACACGCCACGCCCGTGGCTCTATAGGGGCAAACACATTGCAGCCCGAATTCTTATTGGAACAACCTCCGAATAGGAATGTTGTCTTAAAAGGATAGTTGTCTCTTTTGGTTTTCAATATACGCATGCCGAAGTCCATTTAAAAGTACAGTAACTGCGCTAATTCTTCGACAGAATACTCGTGTTTTCTTTGTAACTTGATTGTTCTAATGGCTAAATTCGTTCTGCTTGATTCTTCACATTTTGTAGGTTGCAAATCCATGGAATCGACGGACAGCTGAATTGTTATTCTTAGAAACCTTTCTGATGAATTATTTAAAGAAAAAAGTTCCCCCTTGAACACTGATGTTGCATGTTTGTGTATAGAAATATTCTTGAGATGTAGCGACATGGTTATAGCGGTACGATGAAAAGTTGTTTCGAAGAGGCAGATGGCGAATGATAAATCAAAGGAATGGGGAAAGCGAAAAGATGGGTAGAGAGTAAGAATGAGATCAAGATAAGGAGCTTGAACCTTAAATGAATTGTCCTAAATTGAAGGGAAGCAAACATGCCCGCCTTAGCCAAGCCTTCAAAAAGTAAAAGAATCGATCTACTAACAGCTCACCTCTTACAAATGTATATTATCTCCAATATGCGTGCTGCAGCATTTGTATTGATATCACAATAGCTATGAGTGCCGTTGACGTGTGCTCAACGCAGGTTTGATAGAGGAACGGGCAAATTTTGCGTCCATCTTCAATTTCATACAAGCCACACAAGACACACAAGCGAGTAGAGACCATGTATAGAGCTATCTTAATCGTTCTTGTTATCAAATTTGGAGAGTTAATACCTCCCTTAGTGGCAAGGTTAAGCTGTTCTCTCTATTGTACAGGCCTCTTCTAAAGGGATAAATAAGGCAAATGCTCATGAAAAAACTGTGCTCAAAAAATCTGCCAATGGTCAGTTTTATTTGGTTTGAGATTTGATATAAAATTCTAATTTATATCAATTATATTAACAACCTATACTGTTAGAAAGGCACATAACCAAGCTCTCTTGTTTTTTTTTGTAGTGGAACCGATTCAAAAAATTCGTAAGTCCAGTCTAAAGATTACGTTTTTTGAAGATATTTCTAGCTCGAAAGAAGCGTCACTTTGCCATACTGTACAGAAAAATGCATACACGACCTTTTCAAGGATTACATACCATCTTGTCTCCGGTCTTGCCTTTTATTCGTCAAATACCTAGCGCTGTCAGAAAAAAAAAGACAAAATTTTTCTCTTATGCGCTTAACTTCAATGAACTTTAGCATTCTATTGACGAATTTGAAAGTTTGCTTCGAAACCAAGCGAATTCCCAATTTTTATCTGCAATGTATATAAAAGGGCAGAAACCACTATAACTCGGAATTTGTCACTTTTGAAAATCCTATAGTTAACCATTGTGGCGGTACCACATACTGATTCCGTCACGCTGGCTCCGCCACGCTGTGCCATGTTGTCTGTTGTTTGATTTCATTTCTATTTGATTTCAGTTGTAAGGCGGAGAGAAAATTTGAAGATTCTTGATTGTTTTTATGATCATTGTTTTTAAATACGCA